ATACAGTTTGTGCAAGAGTCACGGTAAATAGCTGGATCTTGCTAAATAGTATACCCTGTTTGTAGCCAAGCTTGTATATAAAAATTTTGTGACCTTAGATAAAATTATTGATTTTGAAGAGACTTAATATGATAAAAATTATTTATTTTATTTTCCTATCTTTTTAAAATACAAAATCATTTTGTTTAAATATTATGATTAAGTAATTTAATATTTCACTCTAGTTAAATATAGAATATAGCCGGTCATTTAATATATTTCGTAATATTGTTGATCTGAGATACGATTTAAGTAATTAATTTCTTTTTTAAAAGAATTTCAACTATCGAAACTCTTATAAATGTTGTCAATGATATTTCAAAAGCAATACAAACATTTAGACAATAATATAATCTTTATTTAATGTTGTTAAATTTAATACTTATATTAGAGTGTTAATTTCTTTCATTGTCATTTCTTTCAATATCTTTAATTCTGAAAACAAAGCAAGGCCATTAATGAAAAAAATATTTCAAAAGTAATACTATTTTTACAATTCATCCTTATCCAAAATTTTATTTTTATTGAAAAATTAAAAATAGTTTTATAGTGTTAAAGTTGTTAAAAACTGAGTGTCAATATGAGAAATAAATTGATCTAATAAAAAAATAATTTGAAAAAGTTAAGTAGATAATAAAGAATAGACTAACTACTAAATCGGATAGGGCTCTCTTTCATTAAAAAGCTTGACAAAGTACACACTATAAATAATTAACATTTATTATATAAATATTAAATAGTCTAATAAATATATAAAATAAAACTTAAGGCACAAGTTTCACTGACCTTATGATTTAGACGGCCTTATCTGTAGCATGTGGCAACCCTTCTTCATTCAGGATGGCTATTAGCCAATTGTGCATTGACTCTGGAGGAAGAACGCTTTAAAAAACCAGCAGTTATTTCTTGGGAATTTTTTTTCTTTTTTTATTACAATTTTTTTTATATTTGCCAAAATAGAAAATATACAGAGAAAGTATGGCAAGAAATCCTAAATCTACGGATCAGAATAAATACCAATGCAAAATACCATGTTATCTTTACATAAACTTTGCAAAGGATGAGAAGGATCAAACACCTGCACCTGAAAATCGTCAATAAAAAACCTTGTCATGTTGAAGCGAATTGACATCATTTTATTTCTAAGGATGTACTGCATTTCTGAGTTAAAATTTGTTTTTCCTTTATTATTAACTTACTTAATTATTTTTTTCCAACCTAGTTCAAATCTTACCAATATATTCTCTAATATATACTCTTTTAAAAACTCTTTATTGTTGGCTACATTTATAGAAAACAAAGATAAAATTATGTGATATCAGTCTTTAATTAATGAACCTCCACTCATAGTTTATAGTTTATAGTAAATTTCAATCAATAATATAAAATACTAGATTTATTAAATCTATTTGTCTGGAGAGATAAAAATCATACAAACTAAAAAATAATTATTTTGTTGAAATTAATTATTAAGCTTCTTAATTTATTTTTTTAGTAGATTAATTTATTTTTTATTCCTAGACTATTTCGTAGTATAAATATTATATATATAATGATTAAAAATAATAATTAGTATTATTTTAAACTTTATTTTATTTTAAATAAATAAAAAATATATATTAAAAATATATTATTGAGCGTTAAATGAGGATAAAATAGAGCTTATGAAGGTTACATAATTCTAGTAACATTGTAATCCAATCTCATCAATGGTATGGAAAGCATGATATTTTTTGTTTTTTTTTTCTCTCTCGTTTCTCATTCTTTTTACTTCCTTACTTCTTCCCTTTTCGTAACAACACTTTTTCTTCATTTCCAAACATAATAATAGCACTTGACTCATTCATTTCCTTCACAGTTCTTATGAATTATTTATTTCTTCAAAACTAAATTGTTGGATGTATCAAATATACAAACAGACACGTTTAAAAGAGTTTGAGTGAAGTATATTAACTTATATTTATGAAAGTAACTTGAAACTTACTGTAAATTATTTTCAAATCATTTCAATTAAAATAATTTTTTCTAGCATTCAAGCTTATAAAAAAATCCTTACGTGATAAATCTAAATCAAAGCTTTACATACTTAATTTGCATTGGAAGATAGTGGGGTGATAATTTTGTACGGGTAACCCTTGATAAAAATTCAGTGACAAATTCAATCTTCAACGGTTGAAGTCGTCAACTCCTTGTGAAACACTAAACGCCATTTCCTAAACATTCTACGTGACGAAGTGGGGCAGCAAGAGTTCAAGAATCATGTACATTATTCGAAGACATAGACAACATAAATTTATGTGATGAAGCCAAATTTATATTTGATTATAACTGATGTTTAATTTATCGTGTTTATGACTTGGCAATAAGTTAGACTTAGTTATATATTTCACTTCACTTTCGGTTAGGAATGGAATTTCAAAAACGAATGAGCCAGATCAGGACACTCTCAAGTCTCATACCCCAATGGTCCCATACGAACTAATAATAATAAAAGAATGGAGTGGTTGAAACAGGCCTCAAGACACAAACAGATTAGGACGACTTATGAACCTACAAAACATTGACTACTTCATCACCTTTCATTTATTCAAAATTTAAATAACTTAATCAGATCTCCATTAAATGTGTTTTGGAAACAAGTTCGGCAGTAAATTAAGGATAGGATCGAGCTCGGTCCAAGAAAGCCAAAACAAAAGAGTTTCCCTTTCGAATTTGAAATTAAGAATAAATAAATTTTTATTTTTCTCACTTTAGATATCTCTTCACTTGAAGATATTAATCTATATAATTTATATGATCCTTGATCTTTCTAGATGGCTACATAAGATGAAACCTTGCTTTCTCCACTTTTAGTTTATTTATATTTCCATGCAGTTATATTTTATTTCCTAATTTTGATTCCATCGCATCAACAACGGGCCGTGTCATGTTGGCAAAGTTACCATGTGAGTGTCAAACTGAGGCAAAGACATTGCATCTATTTAGAAATTGTAACAACAATACATTTATAAAACGAATAGAAACTAATTAAAATCAAACTTGAGTAAAAGTAGGGGGGAAAATGCAATTGATATTTAAAAAAACAAATGACCAAAGACAGAGACTATTTAATATGGTTATGATCAGCTTTTACAGGTTAGAAACGATAACGTAGCCGGCTGACAGAAGAGCAGATAATTGAATGCAAATAGAAGAAGACGAAGTCAATTTACCAAGAAATTCACCGCTAGAGAAGATATATAATTGAGGTATTTATCGTTGTTATTCGCATTAATAGCTTAAAAAATAACTATGTTCTAGATCACATTGTCACCCCCGTATTCGTTTTATTGATGCCTTTCAATGATATCTATTGAGGTGTAAATGTTTGTCAATATTGAGTTAGAAATTTTCTTCTTTAGTAGAATCCTTCGCAGGACTCTTGAAGTTTACGTTTGATGGCCGGGGTCTGTAGGGGCTATGTTTGAGAGATGAAAAGATAAAGAAAAACAAAATGAAGTAACATCAAATGTTATTAACTAAATAAATAAACTTTTTGGATAAAATTTATTAATCTCATTTTATTTAATATTTTACTTTTTAAAAGTTTGTGATACAGAAAAGAATGTATAGTAAAATAATAATTATTTTAATGTTATTTACTTTTTTCTATTTTCCTTGGTCGGGACATTATTTACTTTTAAGCAATAAAATACTAACTATTTTATTTCATTATGAAATATACACATAAGATAATAATCCCCAGTTTACAACAAAAATACGAAAAGGAAAATCCTGTCTCAACACTGAATTAAACTTGGACATTATTATATTTTGTTTCTAAACGATTTTATTGACTACTTTTTAGAGTTGAGTTTAAACCATTAATAATAATAAAATTTTATTAAAATATATATTTATTATAAGTTTATATTTTTAATAAGTAAATATCTTATTTTATAATGAAATATTTTTACTATTGATCATTTAAACTCAATACTAAATATTTAAGTTCGCATAACCAGATCATTTAAAGTAATGTTAACCAACATTTACGATTCAAAAATTATTCAAACAACGAGTCACTGAAACTAAGACCTTACTTGTACGTTACGAAGTCATAGTTTAGCTCAACTCTGCCCATGTTTCCTTTTCTTTATCTTCTAGACTTTCTTAAAACAAAGGCATTTAATTACATCTAGTTATCATTGATTTTGCAGAATAGAAAAATTTACACTTAGCAAGGCAAAGATACTAACTAGTTCCATTTGAAAATAGCTATATAATAACATACAGTTTTTTTTATTGTTGATAAAATCAAATCAAGAAATGAAATACCAATTGAAGAAATTCAAGTTTGACCCTTAATCTAATTTTAGAATACACAACGACCACAAATCTTTATTTTATTATGTAAAATCGGCTGTATAAATTATAATATATTATTCAACTCGATTAAAATTTGATTTCATAATATGTAAGTCTGAAAAACAAATTCCTTTCTTTAATACCCAACCAAATGTAAGAAATTGATTTCCTGCGTAAAGGGTAAAACCGAAAAAAAGGGAATTAAAGAAACATAATATTAATTAATTTTAATTAGTGAAATCCATAATTAATTAAAGTGAATAGTTATTTAATAAATAAAAAAAACTTTCATTCTCTAACGTAAGAGCAACCAAATTCCGTTGAAATTACGAGTGCAGAAAGGACAAAATGATGATGAACGGGTAATTAACTAAATAGTAAAAGAAAAAAGAAAGGGAAGAAGATGCAGTTGATGTGGACATGATAGGGAGCAAGAGAACTATGGTGTTCCGTAGCGCAGAAAATAGAAGGCACCGATGAGAAAGAATAATTGAAGAGGAAATAGGATGCTTCGTGCTTGCATCGTAGCAGCTCAGTTGAAAGTCTCCGAAACGTTCAACGTTTCCCCTTTCTCCCATTATATATACCCCTTTCCACTGAATTTAGACACACCCGCACAACTCTCTTATCCACAATTCCACATTAAGTTTTCAAAAACACCTTCACTCTCTCTTCTATTTCTCCTTTCTAAACGTAATAAACAAAAAAAGCACTTCCACTTGAGTGATACTCATGGCAAACCCAGCGGAACTTTCAGCTCTAAATCGCATTAAATTACATCTTTTAGGTGAACTCTCTCCACTCCCCATTTCCCAAAACGAACAACAACCCTGGTTCCAATTTCACCAAACAAACCCTAGCCCCTCTAAATCCCAATCTTCCTCTTCTGACTCTTCAATCTCTTTGAATCATTACTTCACCGACCTCCTCGAAGCTGAAACTCAAGTTCCCCTCTTTGAATTCGACTCCAAACCCCAAGTGATCGACCTCCAAACCCCGAAACCTCTAGCATCAAATTCGAGTTCTTCACCTCAACAATCCCAAGAGAAGAAGCCTCAACTCACTCGGAAACCGTCGCTGCAAATCTCTCTCCCGAACAAAACCGAGTGGATCCAATTCGGAAACCCGGATCCGAACCCGGAGGTGTTCGTGAAACAAAACCAACCCGAGAAGAAGCACTACCGAGGGGTGCGACAGAGGCCGTGGGGAAAATTCGCCGCCGAGATCCGCGACCCCAAAAAGCGCGGGTCGAGGGTGTGGCTCGGAACCTTCGACACCGCCATCGAAGCCGCCAAAGCCTACGACCGAGCCGCGTTCAAGCTTCGCGGCTCCAAAGCCATCCTTAACTTCCCTCTTGAAGTCGGCGCGGCGGTTGCCGACAACGACGGCGAGAGAAAGCGCCGCCGTGAAGAGGAGGAAGTGAAAGCGCTGGTGAAAAAAGAGAGAACCGTGGAACCGGAATTGAATTATATTAGCGAGATGCCTTTAACGCCGTCTATTTGGACGGGGTTTTGGGACAATGATGTCAAGGGGGTTTTCAACGTGCCGCCGTTGTCGCCGTTATCTCCCCTTCCTTCTTTAGGATTTTCGCAGCTTATGGTTGTGTGAAATTTCTCATTTCGGCTTGCGTTTACCTTTTGGTTTTTTACTGCTTCCTGTATAAGGATGAGTACAGTGTACATTTTGATGATTTTATTTATTTAAAAATCATTATTTATTCAATATTGTTTTGCTTGAATTTCAAGTGTCTACGTGGTTAACTTTGAATCGTTAAGTTTAATTTTTGTCCTTTGAAAACCGTTGTTAATGACTTCAAGTTGATCATTGAGACCATCATATTTTTAGACATTCTCTAAAGCCAAGCTCGACCGTAATGGATAGAGTTTTAATATGAAACTATATTAGTTATTTTTACATTTTTAAAAAGTAATCGCATTTTTTTATATTTATTGAATATTTATCTTTATTTACATTTTTATATTTGGTCAATATTCAAAGATTAGTTAATTAAAATTTGATTTTTATATTTTTACAAATTAATAAAAAAATTAATTAAAATCATAACAAATCTGGTACAAAATTACAAAATTATGTAAGTAATATTAAAATTCAACAAATGTCATATGCTAAATTGGTTGAGACATATGAAAGCCTTTAAATACTAGATATATCTTTATTAATATACTGTGAGTAAGTAATATAAATGAATTAAATATTATATCTAACTCAACTTAAAGTATTGAGTAAAAAATAATTTTACTTATATGTTGTAAAACTTTCACTCTTTTAATTATAATTTATAGAGATACAGAGTTGTCTAACCTCTAAATTGTTAAAAATTAAAAATTTTGGTACAACAACCCTTTTACGTTAATTCACCATTTAAACAGTTAGAAATAAATCATATAAGAAAATTAGATATAACAATTAACTCGAAATATTTAAACATTAGTTTACATGTTTTTATCCCTTAAATATTTCACTACCTTATCGGTTTAATAAGCATTTTCTCACATAAATTAACCTTTAATTTAATTCAACATAATTATCTAAGTTAGTTATTTAGACGTTCCGTTAATTTTGATACCTTTACTAGGGTATATAAATAAACATACAAAAAGACTTAAACGTAGATAAAAATTTTACTAATAGATTATGAATAACTATACAAACAAATTAGGTATCTCATTCATCTTAAAATATTAAGTTACGATTTTTTATTACTTATATATTATTTAATTTTATTATTTGTATTTAATATGAGACTTCTTTACACATACTTATCGTGTTAATTAATTTTAATATATCATGTCACTAATATATTTAAACAAATCAATCATATTAAAAAAGCCAATTTAAATAAGTCAAGTTATGATTTAAAAAAATTAAACAAATTCATTACAATCATAAAGGTAACTTAAACGCATGTAATTTATTCAAATCAGCACTCATATTTTTCATACGGTCAAAAAACTTATCAATGATGCATCAAAATTAAAAACACGAGCACGTCCTTCGTGTTAATATACACTAAGTCAATGATCTCCTAAGTAATGCTCGAGGTAAAGAGAATGAATGAGGCAGACAGTGATTTGGGCAGTAGTTTTTTTCTTTTTCTTTTTTCTGAAGTTAAAACTTAAAAGTTGTGTTTGAATTGATGGAGTGTAATAAATTGGGAAGGAATGGTATGAGATGATATTTTTTTATTGTTAAAATATCCAGTTATTCCAAGATGTTAATGAGATGAGTTTTACAACAATGGATAAATAATCTATTTTTGAGATGATAAAAAAAAAATATCCAATTCACCGATTGAGCTGATTATTTTGACTTGAGTTTTATAACTGTGGGTGAGTTTTTCATTGAAAAGAAAAAGGAAAATGCTAAGAAGAAGACACTAAAAAAGGTAAATGCTACGAAGAGTTTTACGTGATTAGGACTTGTTCGGCACACCCTATTGAGCATGATTTTGAATATTCTACTACTATCCACTATTACTTTGCCAATTATTTGGTAAACGTGTTTTATTGTATAAACTTTGTTAATCAAACTTCCTCTTATATGTCAAAATGACAAATAATTTAGAGCTTATTTTCTTTGTTAAATAAAATTAATTTTGTACTACTAAACAATAATGTACAAGCTATGAAACCACATTTTAATTAAAACCTGAAAAGCATTAATCTATTTTAAATAATAAAAAAATTTAAAAATTGTTGGCAAATTAATTAAAATATATTTTTATAAGAATATTGTGTGTACATACATAAATATAATTTTAGATTATCAAGAGGATCAAACATGTTCCCTCAAATTTGTCACTAGCTATTGAATTTATATTCATATTAAAATTTTGTTATTCTTAATGTGCAAATTTAGTTTTTTAAATAAAATTTTTTATGTATTTTTTTAAAATAGTATAATGCAACAGTTTATCAATTTCAATGATGAATATGATATTATGTTTTCAGGTAAAATATTTTCTTTTATAAAATAGTGTTACTGTTTATCTTATATATTATTATATGATGCATCATAAAACATAAGATAAATACGAGGTTAAGCAAAAGCTTAGTTTTATTGCATAGAAAATTATTTGTTATATTAAAAATATAAGTAAACTTTATCTTTATTAATAAAAAAATATTATTTGTTAAATACTTATAAGTAAACTTAAAAGTTAAAGCTAACCAAATTGTTGTATATAATTAAAATCTTATATATGCATTGTCATGATTTATAATGTTATTATGCGTACTAAACAAACCTTAGTTGTCTTAATAACGTAAAACTTATTTTTTGGTGTGATATCAAGTTTAATTTTTAAACATATGTCAAAAACTTAAATAAGGATATTTTTATAGTTTTTTCTTATTTAATTATAATTGGTTTCACTTTATATTTTTTCGTATTTACATCTTGATCTTATCTCTTGGTACAATTGCGATGTCGTCTACACTTGTTATTTTTTTAAAAACGTTGATATACGTTAATGTGTGCAAAGTATTATTATAAATTTGACGTTAACATCTATGAATAACTTATAAAAAGTTTAATCCAGAAGTTTAAAATGAACTTGTTTGAAAACGCATTAATAAAATAGATTTAACTTTAAATTAAACTTAATAAGTTCGGTTATTACTACATATTTTATATTAAAATAAAATTGACACACTTACGTGTGTGTATGTATATGTTCCAGAAAACTCATTTTGAGAATTTCTTTCCCCGAGGATTATCCAACACTTTTGTCAGCGTATAAAAAGAAAACGTAATTACTCATCACAAGACTTTTTATTGAACACTTTGAACTACAATTATAACACTTCACAGTGTGTTTGAATTAGATATTTTAAGTGAATACTTTATTTTTTGAAAGAATTTATAATTTTATAGGTCAAAATTTATTTTTTGATAAGAAATTTTAAAGAATTTAAAATTTCCGTAGATATTTTTAATAGACTAAAATAAAAAAGAATTCCAAAGTTCTGTGAAAATTTAGAATTACTTGTTTCGTTTCATTTTATTATAACTAATTTAAATTTTGTTAAATACACTGATAATTTTATTTTTTTAAATGTAAAGAATTTAATTAATTTATCCAAATAAAAATATTTGAAAGAAATTAAATTACTCTATTTAAATAAAATATTTTAAAATAATAAAAATATAAAAATCTTTAATTAGATGATCCAAAAAGTCATCACTTATCCGATGTATATCAATTACCCGAGTTAGATCCCGTAAAATAAATTCCTGTGTGTGACCTCTGTGTAACTAAAAATTTGACCAATTTAAGAATAGGTCTGATATTATCATTGACCAAACATATTGAAAATTTGACTAAACTAATTTATTGTCATTAAATCGAGAAGAGATGGTTAAGATTTTCTTTTTCTGGAGAGAGTGGAGAAAGAGTTGCTAGAATAGATTTAATTTGGTATATTACCTATCTTAACTAACTTAATTTTAGTATTTTACAAGGGGATAAGAGGATTTGCGAGCATAATTTTTTACATTAGTTGCAATGTTGCATGAGTTAGTTGGCAGTTTTAAATATTTTTTGCTCATAGTTGTATATACACTTATGCTCACCGTTGCCACTGTCAATTCAGTTACCATCCCTATTGTCGCTATTATTCAAAATTCAAAGTTTGACGTAAATGGTTTGATTTTTCTTTAATTTTAATTATTGTTGTTTTTCACTCTGGAGCACGTGGTTTGAAATGGACTTTTCAGTGTGTTTGACTATTCATCCATCGGATACAATTTACTGCTACTTAGCGAATCAGTGTTTCTGGTTTCAATGATCATCACATGATTATCTTCTCTGAATCAAATCACCAATTTTGGTCAAACGGGTGAGCAGAATTCATGTGCTCCAATCCCATCTTTCGCTGCAACTATATAATGCCAGAAAACCACGTACGTTGACAATAATAATAAAAAAAAACACAGTCTTCATACGAAATGTTAAAAGACTTTAGTTATATGTTTAACATTACTGCTAAATCAAACACCTTTCTACGTAAGTAAAAAATTATGCTAGTTAAGTAATTTAAAGGTAAAAAAAAAATACTAATAAATATATGTTAAAAATTATATCAAATAATTATAATAAGAAAAACTTATTTTTTAATTTAAGTATTTTTTTCTCCAAACAAACAAATTAAAAGTAGGTAAATATTATCTAACATCTTTTATGACCTTGAAATGATTAACGTTTCTTATTTCCAGTCGTTTTGCCAAAAAACAAAATGACGTAAGCATTAATTAGAAAGAAAGTCTTTTTTTTTTGGGTCAAAAAAATAAGAAAGTATGGTGCTAGAAACTCTAGTAATTTAAGAGATAAGGATTTCAACTTTTTCAGGAAAAAATTATGTTTGAATTTTGTTTGGTAATAAATATAAATATTTTAAAGTAAAATTTTAGGTTTAAATTTTGTACATAAAAAAGATAAATATTAGAAAAAAAATGCTTATTAATTGTGTCTACCTCAATTTGAATTATAACCAGTTTGATTTGTTGGAAAAATCTCCAACAACAAAAATCAGTTTGAACCGTGCTTGATATGTTTGGCACGATTTGTTGGTTTTCAAAATTAATTTTGTGGTGAGTACAATTAACTTTGAGAAAAATGGGAAAAAAATTATTTGGTTCTTAAAGTAAATAAAATTAATTCTAGATATGAAGCTTATTAAAATTTTAATTAAAAACATACATATATTTATACTTTAAAAGTGTTTTTCTTTATCATTCAAATAAAATCAATTTTTAAAATTTCATTTATAAACATAAATTAATGTTTTTACTTTAATTTATAATCATTTCAAATTT